GTTCCAGAGCCGACGCTGTGCGTAAAGGTGAGCCCAACCAGATCCAACTGGTAACGCTCCACCTCCCGCACAAGCTCCGACTCCTTCCCCCCCAGAGAGGTGACGTTCCACGTCCCCAAAGCCAGCTTCTGTCGCCCGGGTCTGGTCCGTCGAGACCCTCTGCCTTCACTGCCACCCTTCTGGCAGCGCACCCGACCCCATCGCTGTTTCCCGTAGGTGGTGGGCCCGCGGGACGGAGAAGCGGAGGTGTTGCCCACGTTGACTTTTCGGGCTGTGCCCGGCCGGGCTCCGTGGCAAGCCCGGCCACCAGACGCTCGCCGACGAGTCCTCCTTCTGGGCCTGGCTCCAGAAGGGGACCCCGGGATTCCTCCGGGCCGGGTATCCTCACTTCGTGTGTCGTCTTTTATGAGGTCTTGTGAAACAATCTTAGTCTGGCCCCTTGCCTGAGACCAATTTGCCATGGGAGACCCTACCAGGAACACGAGGTTCCAGACAACACAGCCCCCAGGTTCATCAGGGCACACAAACCTCTCTACCACGGTAAGGTGCTGGTTCTTCAGAGAGGCTGAATGAACCACGACAAATAATAAGACTTTAGCTAACTGTGTGGAAGAGATTTGTAATTAAACCCCTTACACATGGAACATTTATCAGAGTTTCCCCGTGCTGCTATGCCCCCCCCCCCTCCCTCTCACCCCCCACGAATGTGTCCTAATTTATTAACAGCGAGAGCGTCCAATGCCAGGAACCCAGCGGAGAACCAGAACCCAGTAATTAGCCTGGTGTCTCATTAAAGCTGACCTTACAACATTACAGTCAGAGAGCCGCGATTAAAATAGAAAGATTCAGAGGTGAGGAGTGGAAGGGAGGAGACTAAAAACAGAGCAGAGAGATATGGAGGAGGGGGGGGGAGATGAAGAAGAAGAAGCTCCATAGGCGCAGCGGGCTTTTCTAGGAGCTATTATTACAGGCTTTAATGCAGCAGGTCATCAAAACCTTATTAAGATTTACACAAGTTTGTGAGAGGCTCTCCCCTCGGGGGTCTCTCAGGGAGACGAGGGAGACGCTGTGAAATAGAGCTGCTTCTTTAATGGGAGTTATACGTTTCATCCAGGGAACAAGAGCGCCTTTCATTTGCTCTCAGTGTGCTGCATATCTAATACTTCCTGACAGTGATGTATGTACAACGTAAAACATGCAAAGAGACTCAGAGATTGTTTTATTTATCTGAAGTGACGGGTGCTTCCAGAAGACAATATTTAGTCGGTTTTAATCGGTGGTGGGATGAAGGTATATTTAGTCAAGTAAGTAAAAAATGAAGGTAGTTGTAATTCACGAGGGTATGCAAGAACAGATGCAGCAACACAGTACTCTAATTGAGAAATGTTTTACCTTTAATATAATTATTTAGCTTCCTCTGATATGGTTATTGCACTGGTCCAAAATGCAATATTGATTTAAAAAAAAAAAAAAAAATCTAAAATAATAAAATAAAAATAATTTATGTTAAAAACAAAATATTTGAACAATACAGATACAAATATTTATTTAGTACAGGGGTCTCAAACTCAAGGCCCGGGGGCCAAATCCGGCCTGCGACTTGATTTGATGTGGCCCCGCAAGAGCTTGCAAAGAATATAATACGTTTATTATTCAGTTACAGAAGCAGGTTGCCCATAAACTACATGTCCCACAATGCATCTCGTTTTGTGACATGCACACTGAAGAGACTTGCAATTATTTGCCCTGGACTTCTGCTTTCAGACGTAGTTAATTACTAAGTTATTATCCTATCCGATAATAATCCAATTCAGAGGCAATAATTTAATATAATACATTATTTTATATATATATTATATATTTATATAGTTACAACCGGCCATTTGAGTGCAACCTTCATGCGAATGTGGCCGCGATGAAATTGAGTTTGACACCCCTGATTTAGTATAATATGTCAGCAACATTATTATTTGGATTTCATTTGTGCACTGTGAAACCAATCCAGAATAAATGGCGTAAGAACCAAAGTAACAATTTCACTCAACAAGCGATCGAAATGAGAACGGCCTTAATGTTGAAGAAGTTGTAAATTCAATAAAAGAAATATTTGACAACTTGCAACCCTGAAGGTAAAAAAACAAATGCCATTAAGCGCTCCTGTCTTTTGTTTCTTAATAATGTACATGTCAGTTAAACACTTCATTCACTTCCTCACATCTACATGATTCTCTAATTCTTCAAAGGACAATTTGTGTTTTTCATTTGCACTTTATTTAATTCCTTCCCAACTCGTGTGATAGAAGCCTTTCTCCATGAACGGTCTGTGTTAAACAAAAGCGCGATCACCATGTGTTTCATCACGTTACACTTTATAGGACAATCTTTAAATAAAAGATTTCACGAGGAGAGTCTCACCCGAAGAACTCGCACGTCTGGTTTCCAAACTGGACGTTGACGCTGCTGCCGGCCCCCAGGTTGTCCCCCATTACGGTGACTTTGGTTCCCCCCGACTCAGGCCCTCTGCTGGGGGACAGACCTAACACTGTGGGGGTCTGAAAACACAGAGAACCAGAGGTTAAGAGAGGGAAATAAACACATGAGGAAAGAACAAAGCACTGGTGAGTAAAAGATGTTCTCGTGTAAAAAGGGGAAGCATCTCTGCGGTCGCTCTTGAAACCTTTACCACAGATCCTCAGAGAATTACAGTTATTCATATTGCAAGGGGAGTGCAGCGCTGGTGGGAGAAAAGAGGATAAACCAGGAGCTCTTAGAGTCCCTGAGAGTGTGTGTGTGTGTGTGTGTGTGTGTGTGTGTGCGTGTGCGTGTGTGCGTGTGTGTGTGTGTGTGTGAAGCCTTTTAAAGGCAATCTGAAAATAACTAGTGTTTACAGCTGCAGGCAGCGAGCCGCCGTCACACAGACAGATGGAGGAATATCCGAGCAGACAGCCGTCAACACGCACTCCATGTGCACAAACATTTAAAAAGAAACTAAATGCAGGCTGTCGTTTACGCTGGCCCTTTGCCAGCCGCTCAAATATAGAGCGGTGCAGGGATGACGTCTCCCTCCATAAGAAAAGCCAATGGGATTTCTCCATGTGATTTTGGGTTATAGCAGAAAATAATCTCACACGTTCATGATGCTTACACGTTTTGTTCAGTGGGATCATCTCAACATATTAACACCTCTTTATGATTTTTTAAGTAAGAAGCTAACTTTAGGCTATAAAGGAACTACAGCACGGTCACATGACTTCACGTCACCACCGCTAAGCTAAAGGAGGCTAATGTTGGGCTATAAAGGAACTACAGCACGGTCACATGACTTCACTTCACCACCGCTAAGCTAAAGGAGGCTAATGTTGGGCGTCATGACTTTTAGTCGTCTCATTTAGACACTTGTTAGCAACCGCCGTTTATAAATTCACCAGTGGGGTATTTACTGACGTATTCTATGTCATTGATCTAAATGTTAAAATCTCTTCAGCTTGTGTTTTTTGTCTCATGGCTTTACCTGCTTTCTGTCCTCCTACTTCAACCATGTTTTCATTAAACCTTGATTGACTGTATATATTCATTTTGAATTAGTTGAATAAAATAGGCAGCAGTGAGGAAAAGTAGCAGAGCCATTATGAGAACAGTGTTGAAGTGAGTGTCAGGATGCAGGCTGCAGCAGGCACCCTGAACACAACAGCAGTAATTAGCGGCTGCTGCTAATTGTTGAGGGAGTGCTAATTATGAAGGTGAGAGGGTGCAAATGGAAAAGTAGATTATCTGTTAGCTGCAGGCAGATCAAACAGCAAGTGACAGGGACAGGGAAATGTGTGTGAACGTGTGTGTGAACGTGTGAGGAGATAATGTTTACCTGCCGAGAGCAGCGCCACTTTTTTATTTGAGCAAGCAGATTGTTCCTTTGCCCCGCCGTACAATAGCATTTGATCTGTTTATCTACTGTTTTTATTCTCACTTTGTACAAGCCAGCATCTGAGGAAAACTGATAATATATTATTCGAGTTGTTGCTCAGGGACTGAAGTATGCATTTTGACTACCAGAACGGTTTCCATAAGACCGTATTCTCATGTAGCTTCATGATGCTATCTCCATAAAGACAAACCGCTTCTGCAGGAAGCAATAATGAAAGGATTGTGCTGTTTATGAAAGAATTAAGAAAATGACAAGTAGGGAAACAGAGCAATTACACCGTGTGCAGGAATGAAAACGTCGCTGTTAGCCTGTGGCAATTCATTTGCAAGAAAATCACTTTTAATTTAACTAAGTGTGTGTTTTGTTTCCCTTTAATGAAGCGTGTACTGAGTACAGCACACTTTGCTGCAGCTATTCATTGTTTTGTATTATGTAATACTTAAAGGGGACATGTTGTGATTTGTTAGGTGGTCCTGAAGTGTTTTATAGGTTTTAGTGCATGTAAATGGTCTGCAAAGGCTCAAATCCTCTCAATTTCTCTCCACCACTCGCGCTCCTACTGGCTAGCGCTCCAACGCATTGTACGTGATAGGCTAAGGGGCGGGACATCCCTAAGCAGTTGACCAATAACAACAGAGCTGGTCAGCTAAACAATCAGAGGAGACTGGGCTCTGGTTTCAGACAGAGGGTGAAAAGAGGTGCTGCAGCTGAACATTAAAGCATGGAAAGGACTCTTTAAAGTAGAGACACTACACACTGATATACACCTGAACATCAGCAGGAGAGGACTCTTTAAAGTAGAGACACTACATACTGATATACACCTGAACATCAGCAGGAGAGGACTCTTTAAAGTAGAGACACTACATGCTGATATGATCCTCTTTAACAACAAAGATACTTTTTGGCAATCATAAAAGTATTATTTTTCAGAGCAGACTTTAATTGGAACAGGCTAACACATTGTACGTGCTACGGATAAAGAGTAATGTGGTTTAAAGTGGTTGCAGTCTCACCACGAAGGAGTAGAGTTGTGCGGACCGCGCTCTGAGTTCTGGTCGACACTCGCCGACACACAGCTGCACCGGACCGGCTCTGAAGTCTGCAGGAGCGGCGTCCATCTCACACACAATCCTACACACACACACACACACACACACACACACACACACACACACACACACACACACACACACACACACACACACACACACACACACACACACACACACACACACACACACACACACACACACACAACAGGGCATCAAAATCAATGTACATAGAAAAACAAATGTGAAGCAAAACGTTTCAAAAAGGCCTTGAATTCTTGCGGTTGCTGTCGTCAATATGACGTGAGCAGAAGAGATAATTCTGAAGGTTGTGTTTTCTCCATTGCCTTCTTGGTTTATTGTATCAGAAGCAACACAAGCAGGTGGAGCATTTTCATGTGACTCAAATATTGTAGTTATCAAAGATCATGAAAGAAAAGACACACTGTGAAACGGTTAAAGTTTGGTAGCGACCTGTCAATCACAAGGTAACTTAGCACTTAGTAAATGCAAATGAGTTGATTGAAATAACAGTTAAATTATTGATGTTATGGCCAAGTTTAAAATTGATCAAACTGATGATTAGTCCAGAACCAGAATGTGTTGCCATCGCTTCCTCTCTGTCAGGAAGCCTGCTGTTTCTGTAACAACTGAGAGCAACTTTAAAACAGACTTCTTCTTAATAAGGTCAATTAAAAACATACAAAATGGAAGTGTCAGCTCCCAAGAAAGAATGACATTATAGCTGCCGAAAAAGCCCACAAAAAGCATCTTTCAAACTGTCTTCTGAAGCAGCAACATGGAGGTCATAAATGTGTACGCTTTTCTTTTATAGTTTAATTTATCCTAGTAAATGAATTGAGACGGATAAGTCAGATGAGGACACGCAGAGTGACATCCGGCTGAATTAAAGCCCAGCGCAGAACTCCAGACTGAAGAGGTCAGAGGTCCCTTTTTTCATTTCGCTCACCCTATTGTTTTTGCATTCCCAAATTAATAAATCCTCCAGCTTGTCCCCAATTGGATTAAAGTGCTGTCAGATCAGACGCTGATGACAAAGTGTCCCCTGCAGCCAAAGTGGCTTATATAGTGAATTTTTAATTATAAGTTAAGAGCAAAAAACTTGATATAGTGTATCTTATACACACTATGCTTGAGCTTTAATATATTTCTATAAGAAATGATCGAAATTACCACTGAGTTTAAAGAGGCCTTATTCTGTTTTCTGAGTTTCTCTGCCTGAAACGCCTCCATTGGACTCCTTTGTTTACTTCCAGAACATACTGATATACACCTGAACATCAGCAGGAGAGAACTCTTTAAAGTAGAGACACTACATACTGATATACACCTGAACATCGACAGGAGAGGACTCTTTAAAGTAGAGACACTACATACTGATATACACCTGAACATCAGCAGGAGAGGACTCTTTAAAGTAGAGACACTACATACTGATATACACCTGAACATCAGCAGGAGAGGACTCTTTAAAGTAGAGACACTACATACTGATATACACCTGAACATCAGCAGGAGAGGACTCTTTAAAGTAGAGACACTACATACTGATATACACCTGAACATCAGCAGGAGAGGACTCTTTAAAGTAGAGACACTACATACTGATATACACCTGAACATCAGCAGGAGAGAACTCTTTAAAGTAGAGATACTACA